AAAAAAAAGGCTTTGACCCGTGTCACTTTAGTTTTGGGTATTTCACTGTACATAAATTATATTTCAATAAAATGCACTTTTTAAAAAAAAAAAAAGATAAGGAGCTCTGGCAGCATAGTGATAAGGTATCTGGATGCTAAACAGAAGGTCAGTGGTTCACACCCACCAGCTGCTCATTAACAGCATGATCTAAGGCAAATCTGACTTTGAAAGTTTCTTAATCTTTTAAAGCCTCAGTTTTCTCACCTGTAAAACGAGTATAAACTTTCCTCTTAGGTTATTATCAGATTCAACTAGAGAAATGAATGAGTAGAAGCAATTATTCGTGTTATCATGATTAGTATTAGTCTTTGAAGGACTTCATCTATCAAAATGGGAAAAAATACGTAACACTTAGGAATATAGTGAAGATTTACAATTAAATGTACAGAAAAAAGCAGCTGAATCACATATTTATCAGCCCATGCTTACTAAAACAAATGAGACCCTCAAAAGAAAATTATAGTAAACCTCAAAGAGTAATACTACAGTTTAAGAAATTATTTCTTCTATCCTCATTTATTCTGATTTTCTCCAAAATAAATTTAACATTTTCCTCACCTTTCCGCTATATGCACTGAGTCCGTATGTAGTGAAGGACTTCCCTCCAGCCAAAACAACATCATCTCCATATTTATAAGAAGATTCCAGAAGTGATTCCACGGTAAAAGGCACTGTTTCCATGCTCTCACGGTCTCGGTCCCACTGGAAGAGGTCTCCATCCAGGGAAGGAATGATCATCTTATTGCCAAATACCTGAAACAAAAGCTAACTTTTAAAAGGGTCACAAGTTTAAAATAAGACCAGTAACTAGAAGTTGGAATTTGGGGCCTGGTGTACTCTAGTTTCCTGATGAATAGCAAATGAAGCAGCATAGTTTACCAACCAAAAGTCATTTAAAAGAACTGCCAATCATTCCCAGGGTCTACACATACTCTAACATGGTTTTTCTCATGCTCTGTACCACTGGTCAATAAACCAAAAAAACCAAACCCACTGCTATCAACTCAATTCCGACTCAGTCAAGGCTATAAATCTTTCCAGAAGTAGATTGCCACATCTTTATCCAACGGAGCAGCTGGTGGGTTTGAACGTCTGATCTTCTGGTTAGCAGCTGAGCAGTTTAATCACTGTGCCACCAGGGCTCCTTCTTGGGGCAACAGCATCCCATAATTACAGATGATTTATCAAAAGAGTTTTGTGATCAAGTGAGTTCAAGAAGAGGTCACTACAAGACTTAATTATAGCCGTTAATATGCTAATACACATTACAATTTTATAGTACAATGATAGTACATGCAGCATTGTCCAGGCAATTACTATCACAGATTTGGATAATGGTATCCACACACAGATATGGAAATGTTGATCCAAGCAGTATTCCTTCCTTTTATTTGCTTTCTCAAAGCTGCACTGAGGCTGGTAACTAAATGAGGTGCAGTGAATTACTTAATATGGGCCTTCCAACCATAGTCTTCCATTTTGTGATGTACTGTAAATCCCAGCCTCTATGCCTGTAGTTAGGAGCTCTGGTAGCATAGTGCCTAAGGCACTTGACTGCTGACCAGAAGGCTGGAGGTTCAAATCCACCAGCCACTCCTCAGAGGGAAGGCTGGGCAATCTACTTCCGCAGTGATACTGCCTCAGCAACCCAAGAAGGGGTCGCTATGAGTTGGGTCCGATTCAATGGCACATAACAACAACAACAACAACATGCCTATAGTAAAGGAGCTTTAGTGGTGTAGTGCCTAAGGCATTTGACTGCTAACCAGAAGGATGGAAGTTCAAACCCACTAGCCACTCTGTGGAAGAAAGACTGGGCAATCTACTCCCATAAAGATTTACCGCCTCAGAAACCTAAAGAGGGTTGCTATGAGTCAGAATCGACTCGATAGCAGTGGGTTTGGGTTTTCTGAGTTATACCCGTAGTTATGGTCCCACTCTGGAGTGAGTTGTCCACAATATTAATGAGACAAGATTAGGGTGGGATGTAACTTGAGTCACCACCTCACTAGAGGGTGTGACTCAAGTCACAACCCTTAGCTTTCCTTGAGGGTATGGGCTGCATCCAATATGTATGAACGCTCTGGAAAAGTTCACTCTCTTGCTCTGGAACCTGCATCTAGTTCATCATCATCTGACTCCTGGTTCTTGGGACCTGAGAGAGTAGCCAGTTGTCTGACCTGCTCATTTGGGTTTATTGGCTCCTGTAACCATGTGAATGAGGAGAGTCCTCCAGACCAACACCTGATCCATGGATTTGGGTCTTGACAATCTCCACAACCATGAAAGCCATTTCTTTGGCAGTTTACTTGTGCTTTGAGACATTACAGAGAAATACAGAACCCTAAGATGGGAGGGAGAGTACTACGGGAGGAGGCATAGTTTATGTTAGAGATGATGGAGTAGTACAACAGCTTGGAGAAGTTGGACATTTGGGACATCTTTAACCTCTTTCCTAATAGAGACCAGCCTTGTGTTGATCCTTCTGAAAAAAGTTATTCAAGCAATAAGCTTACTGGGTTTATGCCCTCAGTTTTCTTTCCTTCTTTCAACAATGTTGTTGCTCTTATTGTTGTTATGTGCCATTGAGTTAGAAGTGACTCCTAGCGACCCCTCCTTGGGTTTCTGAGGCAGTATCACTACAGAAGTAGATTGCCCAACCTTTCTTCTGAGGAGTGGCTGGTGGATTTGAACCGCCAGCCTTCTGGTTAGCAGTCAAGTGCTTTAGGCACTACACTACCAGAGCTCCCTCAACAATGTTTAGTGAGGGCCTTTGTGTGCCAGGCACTATTCTGGTGCTTGAGATAGTCTGGTGAGCAAAACAAATCACTGCCCTTATGGAGCTTAAATTCTAGTGATGGGGAACAAACAACATAATAAATAAATTATATAGTATGTTAGGCGATACATGCCATAGAGAAAAAATAGAAGGGAAGACTGGAAAATGGGGGGTGGTGGAAGTGTTCATAAGAGGAGTTCCAATTGAGAAAGTATCACTTGAGCAATGACCTAAAGATGAAAGAGTTAATCATGATGATATCAGCGGGGTAACCTTTGCAAAGGCCCAAAGGGGGAAGAGTGACTGTCATGTTTGAGGAACAAGGAAAGTGAACACACTACAGGGGCTACGGTGAAGACAAGAAAAGTAGGCAGAAGACAGGCAGAAGACAAGAGATGACAGTGGCTCTGATTAGGTTGATAGCATGGAGGTGGTAAAGGTTAGATCTGGGATATAATTGGAAAATAAAGCCAACAGGATTTTACAGGGGGCAGTATGAGCAAAAGGAAGGAGTCCAGGATGGCCACCAAGATTTTTGGCTCAGAACACTTTGTTTCATGAGTAAGATGCTCATGTTGTTTTAGTATATGGCTTTGTGACATTGATGTTTGACATTTAAGCATATATATATATACACACACACACACACACACACACACACATATATATATATGTATATATATATATATATATAATTTGACTATTCCAGTTAATGACACAACTACTTCCCTGGTCATCCAGGCTCAAAACTTCGGAAAAAGGGAGTATGAAAGAAGTAGGACTCCAAACAAATGTCAGCCTTGTGAATTATTTTAAACAAAATTCCTCTACACATCTTGTTGGTGCTGTTGTTCCTGAAGCAGCAGAATCATTTCTTTAAAGGACAGTTCCCTGAATGTCCCATACAACCACTGGGAATTCTAACTTGGTGCTTGACTCACACACTTCCCCCTTCTACCGCCTTTCCCTGACATCTCTGGGTTTCTAAAGGACAGGTTGAAAACTACTATTCTAATCTACTTTCTTTCATTGTTAGTTCAAATCCTTGTTATCTCCTGTCTGACCTCTTACAATAGCCTCTTTACCATTCTTCTTAACTGGAAATTTCCTCAATCCAACCTCTACATATCTTCTAGATTAATCGCTCTAAAACAGAGTTTAAGCTTGTTATTTCACTACTCAAAAATCTTTAACAACCCTGTATTATCGTCTTATTAAAGATCCCAAATCCTAAGTCTGAAATGCCAAGTCCTCTAAATATGACCTCAAACAACTTTCCCGTGCTTGCCTTTCACTTTTCACCATGTGGGAGGAAATTGGGTATCATTACTTAAGCATGGCATACAAGGTCGTTACTGTTGTTCAGGCTCCCTTGTCACTGTCAATGTCATTTCTTCTTCCTGGGACACCCTCCAGTACCAACTCTATAAGCTGGAACTATAAGCTAAAACACCATTAAATTCACAAAAATTGTTTACTGTACCTCTAAGAAATAATTCCCAGGTATGTTAATGTTTATACAGTGTTTATTAAAGAAATATACTCAAACCTAGTGCCTAGATCTTATAATCTAATTCCATTCCCTACTAAAATGGACCAAGGCACCTCAGAAAAATGGTTGATTCCAGGACTGGAGCAGGATAGGTACAAGATGAGCCTTTATTATCTTACTATTCCAGAAAGCAAAGTTGTGCTCAACAAATGATGGAGACATGTCACAAGGATATAAAAGTCAGCTTGAAGGAGCTCCCACTAGCCAAATCTGGGACAATTTAAGCAACAAAGTGATTAACCATAGTAACAAATTATAAACCACTGAGAAAAAATAGGAATTCATGAGTCCATACCAACAAACAAATAGATAAATAACATAAAGGAGAGAAAGAAGGGCTCTTGCTGCAATAAAATGCCAAATGCCTACTGGTAAATGTGAAGAGAAACTGAAGTTGGAAAAATCAAGATGTTGCAATTATCATAGTAAAGGGTGGATTAGATAAGAATCACCAATGGTAATAGAAATTTTCATGAGGAACAAGATATTTACATAGCTATTTCAATTATCTTATAATGTCTCCCAACAAATTGCTTATAAGCTGTAAGAAATAAACAAACAGTAATTATACAGTGGAGAATTTGAACACTACTACCTTGACTGGGTAACCAAAATTAACATTATTAATAAATGACAGATGTGATACTCTGAGGACGAACACTACATCACCTATGTAGTACTCTAGCCAGAATGCACCACCTGAGTCTAACCAAAGAAAACATCAGACAAGCACAGAATAAGGCAATTTCTATTTTTAAAAAAGGGAACAGAGACTTTCATTGTCAAACAAAAAACAGCAAATGCTGGCAAGAGTGCAGAGAGACTGGAACCCTTGTACACTGCTAGTGGGGTTGTAAAATGGTATAACACTGTGGAAAACAGTATAGTGCCTCCTTAAAAAGTTGGAAATAGAAATACTATATGATCCATCAATCCCATTTCTGGTCTATATTGTAGAAAAATAAAAGTCATGATGCAAAAGGATATATGCACACCTATGTTGAATACCACTTTCTTTACAATAACAAAAGACAGAAGCAACTTAAGTGCCCATTAATGGATGAATGGATAAACAAACTATGAGTACCTACCTACACACAATGGAATACTACACAATGTTATAGAATAATGATCAATCTATGAAACACCTCTTAACATGGATGAACCTGGAGGATGCTATGCTGAGTGAAATCAGTTAATTACAAAAGGACTAATATTGCATGAGATCACTACTATCAAAAGTCAAGAAAAGGTCTTCACACAGAAAAAAAAAAAAAAAAAAAAATTCTTTGACGGTTACCAGGACTGGGAAGGGAAGAGAAGGTAAATCACTAACTAGAGGGTAAACACGTATTAACTTGGGTGAAGGGAAAGGCAATATACAATAAAGGGGAAGCCAGCACAAAATGATCAAGGCAAGGG